TTATGTTTGTGAGTATTTATTATGCTCTTCCATGTATAACACTGTTTTGGGTACTTCTTGTAGGGTTGGTCTTATCTTGGTGAATTCTCTGAGACTTTGCTTATCTGAGAATGTCTTAATTTCTCCTTCATATATAAAGCTTAGTTTTTCAGGGTACAAGATTCTAGGCTGGGCATTATTTTGTTTCAAAAGAATGAGAATGGAGCTCCAGTCTCTCCTGGCTTGTATTGTTTCAGTTGAGAAATCTGGCGTTATTCGGATCAGTTTTCCTTTGTATGTAACTTGCTTGTTTTGCCTTACAGCTTGTAGGATGGTCTCTTTTGTTGATGTTTTGGTCAGTCTGATGACTACGTGTTGTGGTGTTTTCCTGTTTGCATCGTATTTCCCAGGAGTCCTTTCGGCCTCTGTATTTCTAACTCTAAGTTAATGGTTAGACCTGGGAAATTTTCCTCAATTATTTCTTCAAATAGCTTATACAATCCTTGGGTTTTTTCTTCATCCTTCTCTAGAATCCAGAGGAGCCGCCCATTATTTTTCTTTGTATAATCCCACAATTCTTGTAAGCTTTGCTCATACCACTTATTCTCTGTGATTAACTTATTTGATTTCAAGGTGTTATCTTCAATCTCTGAGATTCTTTATTCTGTTTGGTCCACCCTATTTTTGAGGCTTTCCACTGTGATTTGTATTTCCCTGAATAAATTCTTCATTTCTAGGAGATTGGCTTGATTTTTTCTTCAAGCTCTCAATTTCCTTAGTGAATTTTTGTTCCAAGTCCTAAATTTTTTTGTGGTTTCTTTGTGTTGGTTATCCTTTTTTTCTTGCATAACATTGAGCTTTCTTACAATCAAATTTTAGAATTCTGTCATTTTAGTGTTTTAGGTTTGGTCAGTATCCATTTCTTTCTTTCTTTTTTTTTTTTTTTTTTGAAACAGAGTCTCACTTTGTTGCCCAGACTAGAGTGAATACCATGGCGTCAGCCTGGCTCACAGCAACCTGGGCTCAAGCAATCCTTCTGCCTCAGCCTCCCAAGTAGCTGGGACTACAGGCATGTGCCACCATGCCCGGCTAATTTTTTCTATATATATTAGTTGGCCAATTAATTTCTTTCTATTTATAGTAGAGACAGGGTCTCACTCCTGCTCAGGTTGGATTCAAACTCCTGAGCTCAAATGATCTGGCCGCCTCAGCCTCCCAGAGAGCTAGGATTACAGGCGTAAGCCACTGTGCCCGGCCAGTATCCATTTCTTGAGAGCTGGTGTATCTCTTTGGGGGAGTTTTTTGGTTTGTTACTTCATAGTTACAGAATTCTTTCGCTGAGCCCTCCTATCTGGATCAGCTGATGTTTTTTCGTTTGGTGCGCAGGGGTCCTCTCTTCTATGGTTACTTGATCTGCCACTAGGGAGAGCTCTTCCACCACACTTGGGATACTACCCCTGATGGGAGGGGTTACTTGTGGAGCCTATTGTGGCCACTTGAGGGAGATTTGTTCCTTGACCACAGCCCTGATGGTTGGCCACCGACCAGGGGAGGAGGTCCAGCCCCAGCATTTTGATCAACGTGGTGACCTAAACTGTTCTTGGAAGCACAGTCATTTTACTGCCTGCTTTCGATTTGCACACAGGCCCAGCTGATTTATCGTAGATCAGGGAGAGAGTGGCTTTTCTTGTTTCACCATGCCTCCATGGTTGGAGCCTACCCCTTCCGGTGCTATAGATGCAGGCTAAGAAGAGGAGGTAGCTCCCCAGTCTGTCCTACACCCCAGCACCCCAGTGGCTGTAGCTCTGCTTGGCTTTAATCTTCTGAGTAGCATTTTGGTCAAACCAGGCCTGGCCAGCTGATCACAGATTGTATAATGGTGGAATTAGTCAGGAGCGTCTCTAGGCTGGGGGAGGGGATCTGCCCACCGCACCATATCACACCATGGTGGCTGGGCTGTGTATACCCTCAATGGTGACTGCTTTCCCACTTGCAGGGTACCAGCACTGGGGGCGACTGTTTAGGAGGTGGCAGGTGCCAGGTTGCGTCTAGGTCATCAGGATGCTCCATTGCCTCCTCTATGCTGCCTTTCCACCGACTCACACCTGTTTGGCCATAGTTCTTACTCTTACTGACCCACCCTGGGCCAGCTTATTTCCCAAGGCAGTTCCAGCTTAGAGTTCCCGACTTAGTGAACAGCTCTGTAGGACTATGCCCACTGGTTACCAGAGGCAAGATATCTGTCTCCCCTTTCAGCTCAGTTCAGTTTCCTCCCCTCTTGGTGCCATCCTAGCATGGGGCTCCGGGGAAGTTCACGGTGCTTTCCACTAATGACTGCACTCTCCAGCACCCTCTTCTCCTGCCGCGATTTCCCTCCAACTTCAGACAGGTCCCTGGCTGGGTGGGTGTGGAGGTCAATGGGGAAGCAAGGAGTTCTCCCGTGGATCTGATCCCACTTCACCCCTTGGCCTGGTAGGCCAGCACCCTCCCATGCTGTATGCCCTATTGTTTGTTTTGCACTCTCCAGAGAACTGATCTTACCTCCCAATCACCTTGTTTTTTTCCATTTTTGAGAGTTCTGTGCGGGACCTCTGCAGTTTCTCAATGCTGTCCTTGTAGGGGGTGATCAACTCACATGTAGGAGACCAAGATCTATGTCTCTTTCTCTGGGAGCAGGAATCCAGGGGGTTACCTTTACTCTGTCATTTTTCCTTCCTGCCTTCCCAGTCAAATTTCATGAAGCATCTCTCCTATGTTCTTCTAGTAATTTCATGATTTTGGGTCTTACATTCAAGTCCTTAATCCACTTTGAGTAAATATTTTTAATATAGTAAGGGATGGGGCTCTCATTTCATTCTTCTGCATACGAATATCCAGTTTACCTAGTTTCACCATTTATTGAAGAGACTGTGTGTTCCCCAATGTGTGTTCTTGGCACTTTTGTTAAAATTTCTCTATTCTGTTTATTGGCCCATGTGTCTCTTTGTATGCCAATACCATGCTTTTTTGATTAGTATAGCTTAATAGCAGGTGTCCTCAAACTACGGCCCGCAGGCCACATACCACCCGCTGAGGACATTTATCTGGCCCGCCAGGTGCTTTTGCTACCACTGCCTGTCCTGCTTAGCAGCCAACTCGTCCTGGGCCCACAGTGAGTACTCTCCAATGGTCTGAGGGACAGTGAACTGGCCCCCTGTTTAAAAAGTTTGAGGATCCCTGCTTTGTAGTATATTTTGTAGTCAGGTAATGTGATACTTCTAGCTTTGTTCTTTTTGCTCAAGATTGCTTTGATTATCTGGGGTCTTTTGCCCTTCTATATATATTTTGTGTTTTCTTTTTCTGTGAAGAATTTCACTGATATTTTGATAGGGATTGTATTGAATCTGTAGATTGCTTTAAGTAACATGGACAATTAAAAAATACTAATCATTCCAGTCCATAAACACATGACATCTTTCCATTTATTTGTGTCCACTTCAATTTCTTTTATCAGTATTTTATATTTTTCATTGTAGAGATTTAACCTCCTTTATTAAGTTTATTCCTAGATATTTTATTATTTAGCTATTGTAATGGAACTACTTTCTTGGTTTCTTTTTCAAATAGTCCATTATTGGTGCATAGCAATGCTACTGATTTTTGCATGCTGATTTTGAATTCTTCAATTTTACTAACTTCTTTTATTAGTTCTAATGGTTTTTGTTGAAGTCTTTAGGGTTTTCTATATATGTTATCATGTCATCTGCAAACAGGGACAGTTTGAATTCTTTCTAATTTGTATTCATTTTTTCCTTTCTCTTGCCCAATAACTCTGGCTAGTACTTCTATGTTGAATAAAAGTGGTGAAAGTGGGAAGTCTTGTTTTGTTCCAAATCTTAAAGGAAAAGCTTTCAACTTTTCCCCATTCCATATGATGTTAGCTGTGAGTTTGTCATATAGGGTCTTCATTGTGTTGAGGTCTGTTCTTTCTGACCCAATTTGTTGAGACCAAGTATTCTGGTCCAGGAAGAATTGGGGGTAGATTTGAGCCATGATAGAAAAGTACCTTCAACAAGCCACTGAAAAGAAAAACAGAAGGAAGTTGAGATAGATACAAGGGCAGTTGTGTGCTAGAAATGTTATATAGATGTCTCTGTGGTGGTGGTGGAGGAGCTGAGGAAGCCCAGATTTATAGGTTTATCAGTTTCAATGGAGGCTAATTTCAAGCTACCACTTGATATATCTAGGAGAATTGGGAAGAGATGCAAGTCACACACCATAATAAGGTAATTACATAATAAAGACACAATAGCCATAACCTCAAAAGCAAAAATAAAATTTACTTAAATAATTAAGAAATGATATGTTTTGAGTATTGGTTTTTAATTTATTTAAATTTAAGTAATGTTTTTAATAATGACTATTAACAACTGACTTCAAAAAGTTCTGAAATTTTAATGATCAGGTCTGAGAAGCTGGTATGAACTTGCTCAAGCACACCACTACCAAGGGAATTGGTAAACCATAGAGGTGATCCAGGTTCAGTTGGGCCTGAATCACAGAACATTTGATGAAATCTAAGAATACAGAATTAGGTTCATGACTATGAAGAGGGTCTGGGCAAGTAAGTGGTCCTGAAGATTTTACTTCCTTGGCTTCATGATAAATCTACTTTTGAAAAATGAGTTTCTCAACACACTAAAGTGGATATACAGCTTTCAAAAATGAGAAGTGGGAACAAGAGAGGAACCGGATTCAGATTTGGATGAATGCTGCTACCACAAATCACAGACTAGCTGTATGCTAAAAACTCTGAAGGAAAGGGGATAGGTTAGACTGAGGGAAGGAGATTCAGGACACCCTCAGGAGCAGAAGGGAAAACAGACACTCTCTTCATGGGGCTGCACTGGCAGACCCTCTTGGCTTCATGAAATGAGGGTCTTGGGCTGCCTTCATCTGACTCAGAGCATCTTATGGATGCAAGTTGGGGTAGATAAGGTAGGACTTGGGACTAGAAATTTAAAGGAGACACCAGACATAAGTTGAGAGATTCGGGCACAGATGGTTTATTATTTCATAGTTTAAAGCCCTCAGCTGTGACAACAGCAGTAAGGCAGATATTGTTTTATCCTTCTTGGATCAGACCAGTTTATGATGATGTATTTGGTACTATGCTCTCTCTAGGTATTAGCACTCAGTGTTGTTAGAAACTGTTGCTGTAGGAGAAAACAAAACACAAGTAAAATGCCAATGTCACTCATTTTTCTTTTTTATAGTTAATATATTTCTAACTCAAGTAATTTAAAAAGCATAGGCAATTGAAAGGAAAAGATTAAGGAAATAAAAATTAAGTCCAGTAAAAAAGTTACCTGTTACCTCAACTGCAAATACTCTTAGTTTTGTAATAGCAGTGGTAAAATACCCTAAGTGTTTATTTATCCATGTTTGGTACCTGTATAGGGCAATAAACAAGGTTCTTTGGGAATTCCATACTAAGTATATGAAATGATTTTACCTTACACTAAAAAAGAAGAAAAATGGTAATTCTAACTACAATTACATTTTACATTAGATAAAGAACCAACATGAACATGTGCATACACAAACACACACACACACAAACACACATGCACACACGCACGCACACGCAGATGTATATACCTATGTACTGAAATTTTTTAACAATGATCATCTCTAGGTGCCAAGACTAATAATGATAATTATTTCATTATTTTGCATACCTATATTTTTAAATAAATGATTATTACATATTACTACTATAGTAAGAAGAATGACTGACACACATATACACACACAAAATGTATTGAATAAATTAATAGAAGAGAGTAGTGACAAAGGCAAGATTTGGACATTTCAAAATCTCTGGCTGGAAAAGGATCTTAACACCAGTAAGAGCTAAAATCATCCTTTAGAACTATGAACCAGTTAAGTATAAATGAATTCAAAATGTTTTTATAAATTTAAGTGCAAAACCGAAAATGACAAAATATATTTAGTATCCAGATAAAAACATGTTTAAAAGGCAAGATTTATTAACAGTAGGTTAACTCTAAAATCTCAATTTATATCACAAAATAGTTAGTGGAGTGAGAGATAGGAGAAAGTCAAAATATACTAAGCATACCTCATACTAAAGGAATTCTTAAAATCCTTCTAATTCTATCCGTGCATATCATGTATTTTCTACTTCTATTGCCATATTCATTATAGAAATAGCTCACAAGGGCTGCAAAGATGACAAAAAGGAAGAAAGAAGACAGCAGCAGTGTGAACCAAACCCAGAGAAACCCAGAGCCAAGTGAAAGGGGCAGGGTGGGTTCCCCTCCAATACTTGGATGCCTTCACGAGCACTGGGACACAGAAGCTCTCACCCCACAGAAAAGTGCCACCAGGGACCAGAGAACTACATTTCTTACACCTGGAAACTTCCTCCTCTGCATCTGCTCTATTCCTGGCACTACAGAAAGCAATTTTGGTGCTGGCAGGCTTGTAACCCTGGCCCTTCCCACCCACAGCAACTGCGAGAGTACTGGGTGCTGGAACCCAGTTTCTCTCCACCCCAGCAGCATAGCATGCAGGATCACCTGCGGGGTCTTGGACAGGCAGGCCAGACCAGCACCCCTGTCATAAGAGTGGAGCAAGGAAACCATGGATCCTCCCCCACAGTGACTACACAAATGCTCCTCACGGAGAGGCCTATTTATCTCCCTGCCGGTGTCTCCCAGAATTGCCTGCTGATGGCTTGGGCAAGACTGTGGCCCCTAGACACAAGAGTGGTGCAGGAAAACTCTGGCCCCTCCCCCACCCCAGCAACTAAGAGAGTGCTCTGTGCTGAGGGGCTTCTTTCTCTACAGTGGAGGCGTGTGCCCACATGTGCCTGCCACTGAGTCCAGACACAGATGGTGGGGTAGTTCAAGAGCTCCTTTTAGGTGGCTGGAAACCCATGCACTCAGACTGCTCGGAGGCGACAAGGCAGTGGAGTTACAGGGAGAAAATAGGGAGGGCCTCACTCGACCCCTAGCAGAGAAACTGTCCAGTGGACAGGAAAGAACCTGGCCTGGGGCCTTGGCAATCACACAAATTAGGCTTCTCCCCCAGAGATAACCCTCCTGGCTTGGAGAGATTGTTCTGAACTCCCTATTAGTGGCTCCCCCCCAGCAGCCAGATAAGCAAACTCTGAGCCCCAGTGAGGCTTAGCAATGCCCCTCAGGCTCTCTCATTCCAGCCATGATGATCTGTCTTGCTCCTTCCTCCATCTCAGGGGAAGAAGGGACCAAGCAACCCCTTGGGAGCTATAGGGTCCCTTCCAAAGCTTGGGGTACTCATGTGCCCCACCTGGGGAACCAGAGCCTACCACAGGAACAAATAATTACCTGGGCAGCTGGCTCCTCCAGGCAAACTATAATCAATGTTGGGGAACAGCCCCATAGCTAAACATAGTGCCCTCCAGCTTAAGCAATTTGGGAGCAGAGGATCATACCCACAAGTATAGTCTACCAGCTCAGAGGTTAAGCTAGGGGACCAAACTCACTACACTCCCTTGGGAAGAGGTGAAAACAAAAGGTTAGAGGTAACCCAAGAGGTTCATCAAACCTGCTAAAACACCCCAAAGGCAACTCATGACTAGCACTCTTCTCCCTGGCACTGCCAGGGATTGAGTTTTGGGGACTTGGAGACAATGCAATAAGCCAGCCCTAGCACCCCCAGCTCTACATTAAGAGGCTGGATGAGAAGGAATCAATGAAATATTTCCAGAAACATGAAAAATCAGCACAAAAGCAGACCTCTAAAAGAAATCAATAACTCCTTATCAATGGATACCAACCTATACAAAATAGTTAAAATGACAGATGAAGAATTTCAAATGTGGATTATAAGAGAGCTCAAAGAAACACAAGAGAAAATAGAAACCTAACACCGAGAAGCCAAAAAAACAATGTGGGAAATGAATGAAAAATTATCTAAAGAAATCAAATTATTAAAGAAAAAACAAACAGAAATTCTGAAAATGAAAAATTCATTCAAGGAATTACAAATCACAATGGAAAACTTTAAAATTAGGCTAGACCAGGCAGAAGAAAGAATCTCAGAGCTTGAAGGTAACACCCATAAGCTAAACAAAATAGTAAAAGAGAAAGAACAGAGAAATAAGAGGAATGACAAAGCCTACAAGAAATGTGGGATTATATAAAAACCCAAATATAAGAATCATAGAAGAAAATACACAAGGGTGGGATAATTTATTTGAGGGAATAATTGAGGAAAATTTCCCTGGCCTTGCTAAAAATCTAGATATCCATATGTAAGAAGCACACAGGACTCCAGGGAGAGTCATCATAAAGAAGCAATTACCACGAAACATAGTCATTAGACTGGCCAAAGTAACTTGAAAAAGGCTCTCCAATAAGCAATAAGGTGAAAACAACAGATCACTTACTTAGGAAAACCTATCAGACTAGCTACAGACTTCTCAACTGAATCCTTACAGGCCAGAACGGATCAGTCTTCTAAAACAGAATAATGGCCAGCCTAGAATTTTGTGTCCTGAAAAACTAAATCTGTTGTATGAGGGAGAAATTAAGACTTTCTCAGAAAGCAATTACTGAGGGAATTTGCAAAGACCAGACCTTCCTTGCAGGAAGTACTCAGATCTACGTTATACTTTGCTCAGCACAACAGACACTGACCAGTATAAAATCACCCAAAAGCTAAAGTTCAGAGCCCAGATATCACGGGCTCTTCTTTGTTCTGGAATATGCATCACATTGTGATTTAAAGAATCAAAGTATAGTCTTGCCTAGAAAGCAAAAATAAGCCTAATTTTTGTAGAACCTAAAACAGCTGCCTTGACAATGAAATTAGGATGTTGACTGTCCATATTTAATAATGTTCCTCTTAAAATTAGTACTTTGCTCAATTCAGAAATTTATCTCACTCAGTATTTGCTATATAAATTATCCTAACCAGTATGTAACTTTATATTTCAAGGATGAAGAGAGAATGTGAAAAATAATCTTGGATGCCATATTTTTCTCCTTTTATATTCTATCATTTGGTAAGGAAAATTTATATATACTGATAATTTTAAAAGAATATGTAATTTTATAAAATGTTGTGTTTGATGCTTCCATAATATGATCTCTATACTTACTTTCTCAGATGAATTAAGACAGTGAATTGAATCACAACTCCAAGGCTCTATCTTACACCAATAGTATTTTCTTTTCAAGATAACAGCATAACCATAAGCACATGTTACATCCCTTAGAGCATCAGTTATCTTTTTATATTCCAGTAAAATACATCAAAATATAAATGTTCTTGCCCAATACTCAAAAAATCTCAAATCCACATTTATGTGCACATAGCTGCTACTGTGAATGCACAAAAATCCTTCCTTTAACATAGGTCAAGGAAGAGAGGCTGAGATATAAAACCAAGTTTTATTGTTTATTACTATAAAATAACCTACAGTGAGAGTCATAAAATATAATATAAACAAATGTTTTGGTTTTAAGTTAACCATTTTAAAGTGCTCCTAAACAATGATGAAAACATACAACACAAAATGATTAAACACACTATTCTACACTCACCTTTCAATGGTGGATAAGTTGCTGCTACTGTTGCTTTCTTCTGACACAGATCTATAAAATTGATAAAGTTTGTTTTAAATTAAAGAAAATTTAAAATCTTGAACAATTAAATGACTGAATGAAAAATGTTCTTCAAGGAAATATTATGATTCAAATAAATAAATGTCTCTTTTTGAAAACATAAAACACCACAAAAGAGGAACTATCTCTATATTAGAACAAATGCCATCAGCTACTTTGCTTTGCTAAGTGACTCTTCTTATCTTCATTTTAACAAAGTATTGATGTTGTAAGCCCACATTTGGGCAGGTGGTCCTCCTTATTCTATGATATCCCTAATTCCTCAGATCAAATTAAGCCAAATCATAAAGTAGCACTCAAAAAATTCAGTTTTCCATATAATTATTTATGTTTCTTTCTCCTTCTCAAAAAACATACACATTTTCTCTTCTCATCAATTCTTGAAAGGTAAAAACTCTATTCCAATACTTCTGTAGTGAAATGTTGCAAATTATAAATAAGAGGCTCAATATGATGTTTAAATATTTATATAACTTACTACAGATAATATGGTGGTCTCACTCATTAAATTGATGTACACAAAAGGTCTCCTACATTGGAAAGCTAGTATAATCTCTCATTCTATCTATAGAACTACATAGAATCGTTTTTGGTACATAGAAATTAAATCACTTGCTCAAGATATCACAGTTTTACATGTAAGATTTATAAATTAAACCCAGGTTTTTGAAAGCTAAATATGATTTTCTTCCTACTACACAATGCTATCTCCTGTCCCTTTAATCTAGCATTATTAATACATGTAATTTGTAGTTAAATAATAACTTTACAGATCGCCAATATCAATATTTAGAATAAATATTGTGGAAGCAGTTTCATAGATATTATCTTTATTTGAGAAAGGTGTTCTAATAAAGGTGCTTGCAACTGACCTAAGAATCTGTATCTAATAAATTTATTTTTTGAAAGTTCCCTTGAAATGCAGTGTCATCTAATTTTCATGAAGCTTGTTAACAATATGACTATTTTGGCAGAGTCAGTGAACTAAGAAGCTAAATAAACCTCAAAAATACTACTGGCAGCGATGTCTCCTCCTACCATGACACGGGTGGTAAACGGAGTGGTTTTAGTAAGGAGTAAAACTAGAAAAAACATCCAAACAAGAAACAAAGGGATGTTAAATGGTACAAAATGTGTCCTGGGGGGCTCCTCCTTACATTGCCTTACCTATTGTCTTAGGTTATTCCCAATAAAACAGGGACAGTTTTTTCTTGTCTTACTTAATGTAAAGAAAGTAAATATATGTATGTGCGTATATATGTGTATATTTGTGTATATATAATACATACCTCTCACTTTCACTTTCCTCCCTGTTGCAGAGCTCTCTTACTCTTTTCTGTTTTATTAAAGCAGCAGTAGTAATAATCAGCACAGGTACAGAAATGTAGAAAATGAGTTGAAACTTGGATTTCTGATGAGCGCCTTGTCTTCTCTCCAAAGAACTTTTAGCTAGAATGGAAAATATCAGTTTCAAATTATGTCCGAGATTTTCATAAGCAAAGGAAAAGGTGGAAAGGATACCATTACCAACATTATTCTCAAACACTAGACATTTCCTTTATAAATTATGTAGACATATAATGAATATAATAAAAGCCAAAAAAGGGGTTGTTACTAGTGCTTTATTGGGTTTTTTTTTTAGTTCTTAACCTTCTACCACATTATATGGTCCTCCGAGAATCAGAATAATAGGAGATTATATAATCTCCTATTATTCTGATTCTCGGAGGACCATGACTAATACAGATTTTGGTACCAACAAGTGAGGTTCTTCTCCAACAAATACCTAAATATGTGGAAGAGACTTTAGAGCCGGGTAGTGGGAAGAAGCTGGAATAATTTTAAGGCACATGCCAGAAAATGCCTGGATTATGATTAAGGGAATGTTTATAGAAATACAGATGTTAAAGGTGACTCTGGTGAGGGCTCAAAAAGAGAATAGAGAAAGCTTTCGCCTTCTTAGAGAATACATAAAATGTTGGTAGAAATGTGGACATTAAAGGTGCTTCTGGTGATGTCTCAGACAGAAATAAGAAACATTTTATTAGACAATGAAGAAAAGATGATTCCTGTTATAAAGTAGCAAAGACTTGGCTAAATTGTATTCTAATATTCTGTGGAAGATAGAATTCACAAGCCCAGTAGGTGGATAATTCGCTGAGGAGATTTCTAAGCAAAATGTTGAAGGTGTGTTCTGCATCCTCCCACCTGCTTGTGGTAAAATGGAAGAAGTGAGAGATGGATTAAAGAAGTACTTTTTAAGTGAAAATTCTGAGCCTATCTGTATTTTTAAAAATGAGAAAACGTGTTCTGGAGAGAACACTAAGGGTGTGGCTAGAAAATCATTTGATAAAGAGATTATGGTGACGTGAATCGTGGATTTAATCTGCCATTTTAGCAGAAACCAGGGGATTATACTGGCATGTGGGATTATGCTGGCATTATACTAGGATATGGGATAATATGGGATTATACTAGCATAACTAAAATTACACTGGCAGAGACACTGCCAGTTTGATCCAAACAGAATAGGAAGGGACAACAGAGCTGTTTGGCTATGATCATGTTTTATCTTTCAAGAAAAAAATAACAATCCCTAAGGTGATTCCAAGATGATCATGGCTGCTACTGCCACCACAAACTAAGGGGACAAGATGGCTTTCTTGATTTCAGAGGGTGGGCTACCCTTTTCAATTTCAGTGGCCCAGGTTGACCCAGCCCATTGCCTTATGGGTGGGGCCACTGTAAAATGGCATAAGCAGGAGGGCCATCAGAGCCAGGGCTGGGGCTGCCACCTAAGACTGGGGAGGTGACACTACCACTCCAGTGGGCCTAGAAGGAAGAACATCAAGTCAAATAGGATCATTCTCAAACCATAAGATCCAGTGGAATTTGGACTGCTAAGATGCAGGCTTACTTGAGACCTGTCACCTCTTCTTCCTCTCCAATTTCCCCCTTTTGGTATGGGAATGTCTATCCTCAGCTTATCTCACCATTATATTTTGGAAACACATATTTTGTCTGGTTTCAGAGGTTCACATCTGGAGAGTAATTTTGCCTCACGATGAATCATTTCTCAACTGTTACTTATACCTGACTTAGATGACATTCAGATGAGACTTTGGACTTGGAGCTAATGCTGGAATTGGTTAAGACTTTTGGGACTGTTAAGATGGAATGGATTTTGTATTTTGTATGTGAAAAGAACATGAATGTGTGAGAGGGCATCATAGGTTGGAATTTTATGGACTGAATTGTGCTCCTCTAAATTGATATGTTGAAGGCTCAACCCCAATGTGATGGTATTTGGACATGCAGCCTGTGGGAGATAATGAGTGTTAAATGAGGTCATAAGAGTGGGGCCCTAATACAATGGGATTTGTGTTCTTATAAAAGGAAATAGAGAGACCTGAACTATTTCTCTCTCCTCCTCCTCCTCCTCCTCCTGTCCCCCACTGACAAAGGAAAGGCCATGTGAGGAGGCTCAGTGAGAAGGCAGCCACCCACAAACCAGGAAGAGAGCCCTCACCAGAAGTCCAATTTTCCAGAACCTTGACCATGGACTTCTGACTTCCAGAACTATAAGAAAATAAATTTATGTTGTTTAAGACACCCAACCTGTGTTTTTTTATTATGGCAGCCCCAACAGACTAATACAGTGTGTTTTCAAGAAAAAATGAATGCGATCATATACTCCCCAAGGCATCCCTTGAAGGGAGTGGAACTCCTGTTAAATATTTCCTTCTCATCAACATTCACTTCCTAATAATAGCACCAGAGTCAGGCTAGTAGAGAAGATAGGTTAGTATTAGAATATCTTCAAAGGCAGTCTAAGAAACAATATGATCATTTCAATGCCATAACAACATTTAATAAAATCTAAAAGATATTCCTGATTTAAAAAATTAGAAGAGATAAATATTTTCTCAGCAAGATGAACATATAAAATCAAAGGAAGCACAGGCTTTTCATAATAAAATATTAAAGGTTTTCTTAAGATTAAAGTAATGAGCACCATTTTCATGATTATTTCCTTTATTCTAAATAGATTCCCCAATGCAATTATGAGATTAGAGACAGAGACGGAGGTTAACTGAAAAATAAGAAAGAGATAGAAATCATTATTATTATTAAAAAGGTGTGGCAAAGTTATTATTAATTGCAGTTTACATCTTTTAAAAAAATGTTAATCCCTCAGAAAATAAACGAAAAGACTTTTGAAAATAGTTGATAGTCCATTTATAAAACTTTTACGCAAAAATCAATAGGCCTCCTATGTGTAAGAAGTAACATGTTAAAAGTAACATATTAACAGAAAAGATCTTCTCCCAATAACAATTTTGAACAAAACCATAACATTCTTAAAAATGATAAAGGTAATTTCTGATCTGTCGGATCCAGTTATCTCTTGTGATCAAAACCACAAGAGATATCGCCTCACACCCACAGTATGTGGCTACTACAGAAGAAACAGAAAGAAAAACAGAACATAACAAGTGTTGAACAAGGATGTGGGGAGAGTGGAAGCCCTGTGCACTGCCAGTAGGAATGTAAAATGAAGCAACCGCTGGGAAATAGTTTGGTGGTTCCTCATAACAATGAGAAATATAATTGCCAGCTGAAATAGCAATGTCACGTATGGACATATACCCCCAAATTTGAAAACAGGGACTCGAAGAGATGTTTGTAAACTGGTGGTCATAGCAACATTATTCATAATAGCCAAAATGTGGAAGAAACCCAAGTGTGTCCATTGGCCTGTGAAGGGACAAACAAAATACAGTCTATGCATGCACTGAACCGTTAACCACTCCGGTACGGCGCTCACTGGCCGGGAAACCTCGCCCACGGCCAACACTCACGGTCCCAACGATAGTCTGTGCTGGGCATTGACGGCGGGTCTGTTTTGCTCTCGTGTGATGAGGAAAGCTTTAAAGCACTGAAAGCTGGTTTTACTTTACAGGCAGCTTTACTTGTAATGGAAATCAGAACAGGTAACATATACATATACATATATGTTTTCATGACGTTATTTTTAAATGTTCACCATTTTATTTGGATACGTGAAAAATTAGAAAGGTCACATCACAGCTGTCGGCTAAAGTCACTGTGTGCATTTATCTGTGGCCGTGGACTATAGTCCACGCTGGGCTGGGCGCGTTCATCCATGGCTACTGACTATAGTTGACGCTGGTACCAAAGTGGTTAATCAGCCTTGAAAAGGAATGGAATTCTGACACAAGACACAATATGGATGAGCCTTAAGGACCTTAGGCTAAGTGAAATAAGCCAGTCACAAAAAGACGGACACTGTAGGGTTCCACCTGGGTTCCTGGAGTTGCCTGATGCATAGAGACAGAAAGCAGAATGCTGGTGTGCAGGTTCTGGGGAGAGGAAGAATGAGGACTTATTATTTACTTCGTATAGAGTTTCAGTTTTGCAATGTGAAGAGTTCTGCAGTGGAATGATGGCTGCACAACAGTGTACAGCAACAATGTACTTAAAGACCACTGAATTGCACACTTAAAAACTGTTACATTTTTATGGGCATTTTACCACAATCAAGTGTATATGAGAGTATGTGTGTGAGAGACATAAAAGGTCAAACAAACCAGTAGAATAGATTGACAAAGGTGATAAAGGGCAATTAATAGAAGAATTATAAATTCACTACAACCATAAGATAAACGGGAAGCCCCATGAAATCAAAGAAATGCAAGTGTGATATCTTTTTTTTTTTCCTATTAGCTTATCAAAGATTTCTTTTTCAATTCAAGATATGGTGGGGGTACAAATATTTGGTTACATGAAATGCATTTGCCTCGCCCGAGCCAGGGTACAAGTGTGCCCTTCCCCCACACAGTGTGCCCCGTTTCCATTAGCTGTGGGTTTACCCCCCACCCCTCACCTCCCCCTACCTGACCAGCACCCAGTGGGTATTATCACTACCAAGTGAGCACCTCAGTGTTGACCAGTTAGTATCAATTTGATGGTAAGATTGAGAACCCACAGGCACGCGAGCCTAGGGCAGCTTGGGCTGGGCACCATTCTGACAGCCGAGAGCCACAGGGCACCTGCAGCAGCTGTGCAGCTCTGAGGAGGGACTTGTCCTGCTTGCAGCACTGAAAGTCTCACCCAGTGCTCAATCCCTCACTGGGATGGCACAATTGCCGGTTCTCGGCAACTGGCATGGAAGTTTGGGGGGAAAAATCCATATGAACATGAAAAAAAGAGAGACTAAAACCGCAACATCGTTTTAGCGTCAAATGAATAAGGCATGGATCGTCCACCTTCTGTAGTTGCTGTTGCTATTTGTTTTGGGGGTTTCTTTTCCCTATCACTGCTGATGATCTGCAGTTCGCTCTGAGTGATGTGACTTAAATGCACACTTAAAGGGTGTTGAAATCATGAGTGTTAACAGTCCATCCTTGGCTTATGCTGTGGAATAACTGTTGTGCTTTGTATCAAGATGGTGCTAGCTTAATATCTCAGATTAGAGATATCATAACTGTGTTTTTTGAGAGCTTGGATAATGAAAATGAGAACAATTACAATACTAACACGAGCATAACCCAGACATCACTGAACAAGAAGGCTAAAATGAATGCACTATTTTGATAACAGATGGAGGGTAAATTGAACAATATGCCAAAAACATCATTTAGAATTGGGCATGGTGGAGAAGGGGCCATGAAAGCACACATAGAAAGTGAATCTCAAGTGTCTGGAACGAAACAGGCAAGAACTTCTAACTCAATCACATTGTGTTGGTCTCCCAAATGAAAAAAAATAAAATAAAATAAAATAAAATAAACAACTTTTTTTTCTCCCCAAAAGACACCAATAGCTACTGAAGACAAAAGACAAAATAGCTACTGCTGAGTTAGCTTGAATACACATCAGAAACAAACATGTACTACCGTATCATTCATTCCCTTGATTGCTATATGAAACTGAGTGAAGTTGCATTTCCTGATTCACAGATTGCAACTAAAATGTCCTATAGGAGAAGAAAGTAGAAATTTGGTAACAGCTGTATTGCCCTTCACAGTGTAGCAATGATTTCTCTTAGATCTTATCACGTGAGAACAGCAGCAAAATATTCCTCCTAGCTTTTAGATAATTTGGGCTCAAAATGGAGTTTTGAAAAACTTTTTTAATTACTATGAAGCTTTTAATTAAAAGTGCAGAAAACATAAACTATTTTTGCTGTCTTGAGCAAATGCAAAATAAACTTTGCTCATTTATATGCATATTTAGCAAATAGTGGAAATGTAAATTTTTGCAACTTCCACTCACCATGTAAACATCTTACCAAAGAAAAGTAAAAGATGTCACCTGCTACATCTTCTGCTGATCTTGTACCCTACACTAAAAGAGGGTATGTTATGCTTGCCTGTGATATAGAGGCTTTCACAATGAAAGCTTTTGGTCATTTTTAGTTTATTCAAAATATATAGAAGCACTTAATGAGGCTTATTTTACTTTATAAAATGGAAATGTACATCACGTACATGTACAAGGTGGCTATTATTGCTCTCAGCCACAGAAAATATTTTTAAGTATTGGCCTGCCATAAAATCTTATTTTTAACATGTGAGTCAAGAAGAGTGCTCCTTTCTAATTTTGAGGTGCATTGAGGATAGAAAATAGACTTACAGTAAAACAGAAATGTATATGTTGTTTCTCCGAAACAGTTTGTTGATCTGCAAGGAGGCCGTAAGGACCCTAGAAAAGGATGAACTTACTGCCCCTGTGTAATTCAGTGTCATCTGTAGGATATAACAGCTCAGGCAATGAGAATGACTCACATATTTGGGAATATCACTGCTTTAGAACTCAAAAACTGCCACCAGTAAAAGGATAAGCAGGTTGAATAGTACTTTCTCAGTTTCTTTATTAAAACTGTAATGTATTTGGAATTCAACTTAGATTTCACAAATTCAAATTACCTCTGTGTTTAAATACCACATTCCTTGAGAGAGATTTAACTTATGATGGCATACAATGCACTTTGAAGTGTTTACAAATATTGATTATTTTAGACGTGGATATTCTAGATGTAGTTATAGATGCAAAGAGGATGAATGACAAACAGCTGGTCTACCAGAACAAGCATGTAGATACAAGGGGGGGGGGGAACATTTGGGGACAACTGCAAAATAATTCCGAAAAATCTAAAAATCTGCTGTTTTGAGTAAGTAAAATCCCAAATATCCAAGCTGAAATGTTTTTGTTGAGAAGTTATTTCGTTTGATGCCATCACACTGGACAGACACATTCTATACCATGTGGGCTTGATAGTGAGTAGAGCTGCAAGTCAAGATGAATTTACACTTGACTTTATTCAGTGTTGCTGCTACATAACAGAATGTCTGAAAGGCTGCAGGTAGTTCAGAAAAGTATAATTGGGAAACAAAATAGAAAGAGTATAAAATTTCTGATCAGAAAGAAACATGTCACTTTTTATTAAATATAGGAAATATCTCTTTAATTATCTCTATTATATTTATGTTCTTCTTTTAAAGTCTTATATTTATGTACCTTAAGAATATACAATAAATATTTATTTCAAAATTTATCCTCTAAAGAGTTTTTAAAAAGAGTTAAAATAAATTGCTGTATAACGACTTTCTGTTTCTTGTTATAAAATATTGTTGTATTTTTCTCAAATATAACATTTCTTTAATTATACTATAAACTATTATTAATTGACGCTGTTAACAGGTCCTATTCTTGTTTGGTTTAAATAATAGCATTTAAGCAACCAAAAAGTAAATAATACAGAATAATACATACTTCAAATAAACATATTTTTCATGTGAAAATAATAATATATGTGTATAGGTATATGTTATATATTAAATTGTTATACTTTTTTTGTTCTGATACATACTTTGATATGGCTGTGTGTTGTCTCTCTAAAACTTTGGTCATCCTAGGTATACCTCCCATGTAGCAGCTAAGCTACAGATAAGTCTGCCCAGGAGTTCCACAACTTTCTTGCAAAGTCACAAAAAAGAGGTTATAGGGTGGACAGGCTGCCTATGCTCCCAGTTATTTGGTGTAGGCTCTATACCTTCTAGAACCAGGGGATGCACCCCCCTCCAGTTGTTCCCTGTCTCATCCAGGCCTGCTTGATCTCAAAATACTACTCAGGAACCACCAGGGTAAGGTTAGAAAGAGTATATTCCAAAATATTCGCGTGGAGTCCTTACAATGCAGGAGGAAGACAACTAATTATGAAATAAATAGGAAAAAAAGACAGCCTGAAAGATTTCAAAGACATTACTATAACAATGAATATTGACACTGTTATAAACTAGAATATACGAGGCAATCCAAAGAGTCAATTTAAGTTGACTGGTCAAGTTATATGCGCTGAAATCTCTACTTAAAAAGTCGTCTAACATTGGGTACATTTTTTCTCAGTAAACAACATCAATGCTGATGTAGAAAGAACAGTAGAAACTTACATTGTCAGATTTTCTTTTAACTCTTACAAGTAAAATAAAGGCATGTTTGCTGACATAAGTTGCTTTGTAGTCTAGTTCGAAGCCTATAATTTATTCTCTTTCATATTGTAGTTAATTAATAAAATTTTAAAGATACTAACGAGTCTTAATCGTGTGTCCATCATCAATACTTCCAAATGCGTCTTTCTGTGGCTGGCATTCAGGAGGAACAAACCCCTTCTTACAATGGCAATGGTTAAAATTGTTGCAAACCTAGAATAATCAAAAAATGAAATAATTTTTGTACAAAGACGTAAATAAGTAAATAATACAGTAAGAGAGTAGAGATTTCAGTGGAGATTAATGAGTAATCTACAGTTATTCAACAGGGTGTCTCATTCTAGATAATTTATCTTAAACAGACAAATTCATCAAATTTTCCCTTGCAAATGTCCATATTTTGGAAAATAAATACATCTAGTTTCTGTTGCCAGATAAATTTCTTTTAAAAAAATTTTTTTCAACTCCCCCCACAGCCAGACCCAAATAACTTGCAATTACCAGTAACATGCGACTAATTATCATCTACTTTCTAGCTTCACAGAACAGCCCAGACTCTAAATTAACTAGCAAGAAAATGCTAATTACCTTTATTTACCAGTTTCTGCCTTCTCTATGTAAAAATAAGATTATTTTGGTTAAATGGTGACATAAGCAGTTCTGGCACCTCCAGCTGTAGCACCTCCACCTCACACATTTACTAAACATTTTATACATCCAGAATCATCTTAAGTGTTTTCTCTTTATCTTCTCTAGTAAAGAGAAGATATACTTCTCTAGTATAGTTTGGCAAGTTTTTTTAAGAAGTCAAGATCAAAGTTATAAGTTACAGACTGTTAATGCCAAATATCATGAAAATACCAAAAAAATCGTTGTTTAAAACCCCAAATTGTTTACTGAATTGTTAAAAGCATGCTGCTTAAAATAAGCATGGCAGTTACTTACTCCATGGTCACTACAAGTGGTGTACCTGTCACACAATGCAGCATTCATTATGAATCGAACTTCCAGACACTGATGGTTCAAACAATACTGAAAACAAAACAAAAAGAAGTGAAAAATAAAGTCAGTCAAAATGTGTCCATTAGAAAAATTCAAGAATATCCCAGAATTCCTATTACCCAAAATTGGCAGAAAAATCCATGGGTATACAATGAAAAGAATAATAATTGTGACTACATGAAAAATTGTGAAATAAACTATGTATAGTCAGGTTGTAAGATGTAATCACATGTAAGGAGCTGGAAGTGTTATTTTCTTACCACCTAATATCAGAAGTCTCCTTAGAAAATAGCTGGAAAAAAAATATATATATAAATAGCTAGAAAATAGCTGGAAAATAGCTGCAAAAAAATAATTTTATTAGTCCATTGAGTTTAAGAATTGTCTGAGGAACATTTTAAAAATGCCCATGACTGGAATCCACTGAGAACATTCTGATGAAATCCCTGGTGGCAGGGCCCAGGCCAATGATTATGAAAACTGTTGAGTAAAGGGGTGAGGTCTTAACATTACGACTATGAGCAGCAAAGGAAGACATTTTACTGTTTCTTGTGACAAAATGAGGAGAAAGGGAGAAGAAAGGATAACATATAATTATAGGAGAGGAGGTATTGGGACAAAGAGAAACTCTCAGTGTTGTGATAGCTAAATGCCTTCTAAGAAAGGAATGTTTAACGTGTGAATTTACATTGTTCCAATGTATGGCATAAGTTTATGTGACCCTTTCTAATTATCCGCAAAATCTCAGTAAATTTAACATTTTGTGGAAACATTTTATGTTTTGGATAATTTTGTCTTTGGGTATAATAATGACTGTATTCAGAATTGGAAGAGTCAAGATTCTGGAATGAAGATTTGAGCTAATACCCTTTAGATCTCAAGGGGAAGGAAAACTTCAGATCATACTTGTGTTCTGTATGTTTTATTTTTATTTATTTGTTTATTTTTATTTTAGCGTATTATGGGGGTACAAATGTTAAGGTTACCTATATTTCCCATGGCCCCCTCCCCCCTCGAGTAAGAGCTTCAAGCTTGTCCATCCCCCAAATGTTGCACATCTTACTCGTTGTGGTTGTATATGCCCATCCCCACCTCCCCCCTCCCACCCGCCCGACACCTGATAAACGTTATTCTTGTATGCCCACTTAGTTGTTGTTGATCTGTTAATACCAATTTGCTGGTGACTATATGTGGTGCTTGTGTTTCCGTTCTTGAGATACTTCACTTAGTAGAATGGGCTCCAGCTCTATCCAGGAATATACAACAGGTGCTATATCACTTTTGTTTCTTAAAGCTGAGTAGTACTCCATGGTTAATTATACACATTTTATTAATCCATCATGAATTGATGGGCACTTGGTTGTTTCCACAGCTTTGCAATTGTGAATTGTGCTGCTATAAACATTCAAGTGCAGGTGTCTTTTTTATAAAGTGACTTTTTGATCTTTTGGGTAGATGCCCAGTAGTGGAATTGCTGTATCTAATGGTAGATCTACTTGTATCACTTTGAGGTATCTCTATATTTCTTTCCACAGAGGTTGAACTAGTTTGCAGTCCCTCCAGCAGCGTAGGAGTGTTCGTCTCTCTCCGCATCTATGCTGATAAAGGCCATTCTCACTGGAGTTAAGTGATATCTCATTGAGGTTTTGATTTGCATTTCCCTGATGATTAGAGATGTTGAGCATTTTTTCATATGTTTGTTAGCCATTACTCTGTATTCTTTTGAAAAGTTTTCTTTCGTCCTTTGCCCATTTTTTGATGGGGTTGTTAGATTTTTTTCTGGCTGATTTTCATGAGTTCTAAATATATTCTAGTTATTAGCCATTTATCAGAATGTGTAGCTTGTAAATTTCTCCCATTCTGTGAGTTGTCTGTTTGTCTCTTGAGAGTTTTTTGGCTGTGCAGAAGCTTTTATTTGATTCAGTCCATGTTTATTTTGTTGCTGTTGTGATTGCCTTGGTGTCTTCTTCATAATTCTTTGCCTAGCCAATTGTCTAGAAAGATTCCAACTTTTCCTCTGATATTCTAATAGTTCACCTAAGGTTCAAGTCTGTTACCCAGCATGAGTTGATTTTTGTGAGAGGTGAAAGGCTTGGGTCTTGTTTTAGTCTTCTACATGTGCCTATCCAGTCTTCCCAGCACCATTTATTGAATAAGGATTCTTTTCCCCAGTGTACGTTTTTGTCTGCTTTGTTGAAGATTAGTTGGCTATATGAGGATGGTTTTATATCTGGGTTCTCTGTTCTGTTACACTGGTCAATGTCCCTGTTCTTATGCCAGTCCGAAGCTGTTTTAATGACTATAGTCTTGTAGTATAGTTTGAAGTCTGGTAAATTTATACCTACTATTTTGTTTTTATTGCCTAGGATTGATTTTGCTATATGGGGTCTTCTCTAGTTCCATACAAAGCGTAAAATTATTTTTTCTGTATCTTTGAAAAATGATGATGGTATTTTGATAGGAACTACATTGACTCTGTAGGTCACTTTGGGTAGTATAGATATTTTAACAATGTTGATTCTGCTGACCCACGAGCATCGTATATTCTTCTATCTCTTTATGTCCTCTGCTATTTCTTTCTTCAGTGTTTCATAGTTCTCCTGTTGAGGTCTTTACCTCCTTAGTTAATATATTCAAGGTACTTTATTCTTGTTGCTATTTTGAAGGAATTGAGTCTTTGATTTGGTTTTCACTTTACTGTTGTTGGCATATATGAATGCCTCTGATTCTGTGTATTGATTTTGTATCCTGAGACTTTACCAATTTCATTATCAGTTCAAGGAGTTCTTGTGAATCCTTGGGTTCTTGGTATAATATCATATCATCAGCAAAGAATGAGAGTTTGATCTCTTCTGCTCCCATTTCAACACCCTTAATTCTGCTCTCTTGTCTGATTGCTATAGCGAGGACTTCCAGCACTATGTTGAATAGAAGTGGAGATAGTGGGCAACCTTGTCTAGTTACAGTTCTAAGTGGGAATGCTTTCAATTTTTCCCCATTCAGTATGATATTGGCTGTGGGTTTGTCATATATGGCTTGTATCATTTTTAGGTAAGCCCTGTCTATGCCTATTTTGGAGTTTCTTATCATAAAGGGTGTTGAATTTTGTCAAATGTTTTTCTGAGTGTATTGAGAGATCATATGTGTCTTGTTTTTGCTTGTTTATATGGTGAATTACATTTATAGATTTGCATATGTTGAAGCATCCCTGCATCCCTGGGATGAAGTCCACTTGGTTGTGATGGACTATTTTCTTGACAAGCACCTAGATTCGATTGCTAGTATTTTGTTGAGAATTTTTGCATCTATATTCATAAGGGATATTGGTCTATAGTTTTCTTTTTTTGTTGTATCCTTTCCTGGTTTTGGTATCAGGGTTATGTTCGCTTCATAAAACATGTTGGGCAGGAATCCATCCTTCTCGATATATGTTTTAAAATGAGCAAGAAGTCACAGATAATCTTTTTTCTTATATGATATTATCAAAATGTTAGTATATAGAAATAAAGTTGTATTTAGCAAGCATACCCAGAAAATTTCTCTCAAAGACCTCTACAGGGAGAACTATGAAACACTGAGGAAGGAAATAGCAGAGGATGTAAACAGATGGAAATCCATTCCGATGGTCATGGTTGGCGACTCAACATCATAAATGTATTACTACCCAAACTGATCTACATTTCAATGCAACTACCTATTAAATTCCCATCACGATTCTTCATAGATATAGAAAAAAATAATTTATGGTTTGTATGGACCCCAAAATGACCCGAATATCGAAGAACATTTCTAGGCAACAAAAGAAAAATGGGGGGTACTTAATATTGCCGATATCCAAACTTACGTACAAAGCTGGAGGTAATTAAAACAATCTGGTAATTGGCACGAAAAATATGACCTAGTTGACCAGTGGAACAGGATCGTGAGAATCGCCTGATATAAAATCTATATAGCCATCTAATCTTGACAGCAGACAAAACTACGCTGGGGAAAAAGACATCCCTTTTCATAATGCGTGCTGGGAAACTGGATAGCCCTTGGTGGAAGGCCTAAACACAGTGCCACCACACTTTCACCTCTCACAAATTAACTCCGCTGGATAACAGACTTAAACCTAAGCGTATGAAACTATTGATTCTAGGGAGTAAAATGTTGGAAAATCCCTCTCGCTAATGACATTGGCCTACGGCAAAGAGTTATGCAAGAGAAGTCCCAAAGCAAATCACAGCGAGCAACAAAAATACAATAAAGGACTGATGCAAACTACAAAGCTTCTGCACAGCCAAAAACAGTCATGAAAGTAAACAGACAACTACAGAATGGAGAAATTTTTTGCGTCCTACGTTCCGATAAAGGGCTGATACTAGGAATATACTTAAACTCACGAACACAATCAGGAGAAAATCAAATAACCCCATTAAAAAGTGGCAAAAGGACTTGAACAAACTTTTCCTAAGAAGAGAACGAAGAATGGCCTACAAACATATGCAAACATGTGAACATCCTGTAATCTCAGGGAAATGCAAATCAAACTACGAATGAGATATTACTCTAAACTCCATGAGAATGGCCATTAATCAAAAGTCTCCATAACAACATGCGGCGTGGATGTGGAGAGAGACCTCTCACTGCTCTGGGGGACTGCAACTAGTTAACCTCTGTGGGAAAGCAATATGGAGGATCCTTAAAGCGATACAAGTGAATCTACCATTTGATCCGCAATTCCCGATTGACTGCGCATCTACCCAAACATCCAATGACACTCTACAAAAAAGACACCGCTCTGATGTTTAAGCAGCACAATTATAATTGCAAGGCTGTGGAAACAGCCCAAGGTGCCCATCAATCCAAGAATGATTATAGGAATGCGGTACTATGTATACCATGGGTACCTTTCAGCTCTAGAAACAATTGGTAGGATTAGCACATCTTATATTTTCCTGGTTAGAGCTGGAACCCATACTACTAAGTGAAGTATCCCAAGAATGGAAAAACAAGCACCACATATAGTCACCAGCAAACTGGTATTA